CTACAATGAATATCATATATATCTTGAAGAGAAAATAACATCATAATCAAGATGTTGACATTCTACACTACTTCAAATAAAAGGTTAGGAAGGAAGCCTTCATTAATACTAGAAAGAGTGATAACAGCGACAAAACTTGAGAAAACTATTTTCTTGAAAAGTTTTTTAATAGACAGATTTTATAAATTTCAACCAACAGTAGTACTAGCTGCTTGGTCAATGAATGCTGAATGTTTCCTTATAAGGAAACAGCTAATATTACTATTACCCTTTTCTTTTATTTTTGTGTTTTGAATATAAAAATAAATTTAATATTTGTAGATTAATGAATAATTCACGTTTTGAATATTTTGTATTTACCTTGATATTTTATTCACTCTAGTACTTTGTCACTTTCTATCATCGATTTCATGTGTACATAAACCCCTGCAGCTCCATGTTCAATACACTGACCTTACATTCTCATCTGCAATGTCTAAGAAACTGCCCTTCTCTCGGGGGTAGATGTTTATATGACCTAATGGCGGAGGAGGAGCCTATAAAAAGAAATATTTCAAATTAATATACACGCAAAAATAAAATGCCTTTGATAAAAAAAACAATGATTTCACCATAATGATGTAGCAATAACGTAATGATATTCCACAGACAAATCTATGGTTGATGCTAACACATCTCATTGCATGGTTACGAACTATAAACCTAAATTGAGCTTGAAATATTGTGTAATTGGCTCTAATTTTTTGTAAAATACTTGGATATGATATAATGAATAATTTTCGGTGAATAAATCAATTTTCAATTTTTTGTTGAATACGCACCTCTTCTGCCAAACATGTCATATACCCAACAGTTTCTTCTTGCATGTACACATATATTAGATGCTGAGAGACCCACATGTGATCACCTCTTGAGGTCACAACTAACATTGGGTGAATCACGGATGCCTAACTCGAGCTGGGAGGTCATTTCAGATCAACCTTACACCTGGCTTCCTTGAAATCTGTTGTGAAATTGATTGCAAAGATTTTTATTTTACATAAATTTCCTGATTCTCCTTGCTATACTGTACCTTTACATGATCCAGATCAGACCAAAAATGAAGTATTACTGCCATATCTGGTTTGGAGCTACCCAGTACTCATTTATCTATCTTGACAGAGTTCAAAAGTATCTATGCAGCCTTGTGGGTGATGAATTATTTTCCACCATGCAACTTAAATTCCCATAGGCAAAATATTGCGAGCCTCTCATGGCTCTATTCCTACTTGCATGGCATGGATTCTGATGAGTTAAATTCCTTCATCTCACCACACCACCCCTGACATTTACAACTGGGACCCACAATGCCATGTACCACAAGAGTGAATCATTCCCATTCCCTTCAGTTTGCATTGTTTGAAATAGACTGGCAAAATATCCACCCTGGACATCCTTATTCCAACCACCCTTTTTATTATATATTCAGGAAATTTATTGCTATTTCTTAATTTAAGTAAAAAGTAAATAACATTTGGACAGCTTTTTCCCAAGAACTGGTGTTTTGTGGAACAGACTCCCAGGAGGATGTTTTCCCAATCACTACAATCTTGACCACTTTAAGTATAGAGTTAACCGTTATCTTTCTTGCATAGCCCCATCAACTTCACCTTGCCCTTTCTTATGCTCATACAACACCATACAATAACCCTCTATCTTGAGTGGCTCTTGGTCCTTGTATTGGATGAACATTAATATAAAATAAAAAGTAATTTATAATTTTGCAAAAATATTTCATGATTGTCTCTTAGTTTCATTTTCTTTTTTATTTTCATTTATAATTACAGGTACATTAGTGGCTAATTTTGTTCTACCCATGGAATATTCTATCCCAAAATGGCGGACATTTATTGGATGCATTGGCTTTTGGCCTGCTGGATTTTTTGTTGTGGCTTTCTTAGGTTATTTTATTCAAAACTGGCGTTACCTCACCATCAGTACAGCCTGTGTCAGCATTCCATTTTTGGTGACTTGGTGGTAAATCTCAACTTTGTTTTTTATTCTCTTGTTTCTTAACAAACAAACTTAACTGCATGAAAGACAAATATCAGAATAAGCATTGTTTCAAATAATCTGGTAAAAAATCCATTTAAACATCCATATTCCAACCACCCCTTTATTATATATTCATGAAATTTTCTGCTACTCCTTTATTTAGGCTGTGTGCATTCTTGGAAAAGGTGTTTCATTACTGATAATTATCAGAAATAATACTAAATCTGAATGTTATGCATTAAAAACCTGAGAACTGGATCATCAGGAGTTGTTATACTATGGACATCCATATAGAAAAGGAAGATGTGATTTTATCTCAATCTCAAATGGATCTGTTTAATAACCAACAAGTGGTTCTTTTCTGACATCTAGTTTTCTAAGTAGCTAAAGAGGGTTAAGAAGTAAAGGAATGGATAATAGGTTTTTGGTGATCAAGTGGTAACGAAACTGGAAATAGGGTATATCCGGGTGCTGGTCTATATTAACAGTCATGCTTGAGATCAGAAAATGGTATTTGAAGCAATGGAAACTTAATTATACCACCAGAAAACATGTATTAAAAAGTATGCATAATGATATCCAGAGGGAAATCACATACACAGAAATGATTAAATTTAGAAGCATGGTAGCTGGGGTACTCATGTGATACTATGGAGACCCATGCAGAAAAGGAAGATGGGGTTTTATCTCGATTTCATGTCTTTCTGTTTTATGGCCAGCGAATGGTTCTTTGAAATGTTCTAAGTGGCATCCACTTTAACCAAAGAGGAAAGACCAAGTGACAACAAAAATGGATATAGATTGTATCTGGTTGCTGGTCTATATTAACAATGATGTTTGGGACCTGAGTGGGTGTTAGTTCTGGTCCACTCTTGGCTGGAGGCAGATCTGTATGCAAATACTTCTGATGCCACCTGTTTATATTGCTAGCCACACATTGGGATGGGCAAAGAATTGTCAAGGGACAGAGCTGATCTTTGAGATCAAAATTAAAATTGTCCCAAGTAGGTGAAGCCCTGAATAAAACTCCTACCTATAATATAGGAAACAGGGCTTGCATTCTTATTTCTTGACATGGCATCTTTTATCTTGTTACCTTGTGAGCATGCAGCAGGCTTTTTCCCAGCTTTTGATGCACACTAATGAGTTTGAGAATTGAAAGGCACTGGGGCAATCATTGGCCAGTTGGTGGAAAACTTGGTCAAGGGTCATGTTGAATGTTTACTAAATCATTAAAACTAGTAGTCAGGATTTGGAATTAATAAATACAAAACAATTCAAATACCTCAGTCTATAAAACAATTATTATAAATTTAGTATAGGAGATAAAGAAATTGAACTTAGGCGGTGGTATAGTTATTTTTTTCTCAATACTGCATGTTGTTAGAAAGCCAAAACATTAACCTAAGAACTCAAATCATGTTCTTAAATAGCTTTGTCAGACCAAAGCTTTCATGTGGTTGTCATATTTAGTAATCAACTTGTTCAGAAATGTCTAAACTCTCAGCTGTATACAACTGCTTTCTTAGATCAGTAATTCAAATGGCTTTGAGTGAATGAACCCTGTAGGTCTTAGAGAGGACCATCCTTCTTCAAATCTTCTGGACTGGTGCTATAGAATCACAAACAAAGAAATATGCCAAAAGCCATATCAGTTGAGTACTTTCAATTGCAACAGCAACAAAAATGGATATTACATGTAACTCAAAGAGGAAATAATAATCAAATGAAGATGTTGATGTTATTGGACAAAAGATTAGGAAGGAAACCCCCATTAATATTGGAAAGAGTGTGAACTATGGACTTAAACCTATATTCCTGAAAAATTGTTTTAATAGAAAGATTTTATAAATTTCAATTGACATTAGCACTGGCTGTTGGGTCAATGAATGTTGAATGTTTCCTTATGAGAAAAATTGCTAATGTTACCATCACCCATTTCCTTATAAGAGAAATTGCTAACGTTACCATTATCATTGCTTACAGAATTGAGATATTAGACGTATAATTGTTTTTGCTATCATGCTAAGTTTAATAATATTGTCTTTTGAAGGTTTCTCACTGAAAGTCCTAGGTGGCTTTTTGTTCATGGTCACAAAGAAGATGCTAAAAAAATCCTCAAAAAAATTGAAGAATGCAACAAAGCTCCACCCACACATTTGATAAAGATGAACCGTATCATTCAGGTAATTTTTTGATGTAAAGATTATATCCTGAAGCTTATTAAATCTTCCTCATTGCTCATAAAGTATAAAATTATGTACAAAATATCTGTAGTTAAAAGACAAAATTGTGTTAAAAACATATTTCACTGAAGCCATAAAATTACATACAAAATATTGAGATTTTGGTATTAAGCAACCTGTAGAGGTTGATATGTTGCTAAAGAAAATGACCCTGTCACAATTTAAATCCTAATAATTGATATCAAAACCAAAATATTTCTCTCTTAGTTTTGTTTTCTTATTTTGTAGGAAGGACAAGAAAAAAAATTACAACAGAAAAAATACAGCTACTGTCATTTGTTCAGTACACTTGAAATGTGTAAAAAAACCCTTATCTTGAATTATGGTTGGTTTATTTGCTGCAGTGTCTACTATGGTTTGGTATTCTCGACAAAAAATCTCTCAGGGAATCCATATCTAAATATTTTTCTTTCTGGTGTGGTCGAATTACCTGCTTTTTTTTTAGTACTGGCTATCAATAACAGGTGAGTCCAAAAGCCTTTTTTAAATACTTGGGGTTAAAAAAATTTTTTTTTTTTTTGCCTGCAAATGGAATTTTGGGTTGAAATTGAAGGTTTTAAAATTAAATGTTATTCTTTTAATGCTGTGGTTCCTATATGAGTTGACATTGGAAAAGTTGCAGGCTAGAATCTCTGAGCAAACTCTCTAACTTATTCTCTCTCCTGTGATAAAGCTGATAGATTGTTCAGTGATTGCCTAGATTCATGAGTTTACCAATCTTCTGACATTTTGCTGATGATTTGTTGCCCATCATCTAGAACATGTCATTAACCTTGAGAGGCATGAGACACTCTAAAATCTACATTCAGCATTCAGTTTAAAGAATGTTTGATAAAAACCCTGAGAAAGCATTTGGAGGATATCAATCATGGAGTTTAATGGCAAAATTTAATGCAGACACATGAATTAAATGTTTCAGCTATCATAAAGATAAAAATCTGTAGCAGTTCAATGTTAAGAAAATTGCATAATGTAGTACATTAGTATCAGCTGATATTTTTCTAAAATAAAAACATCTGAAAGATGTTACAGAAATTGTTTCAGACAATTGTTTAGATTATCAGCTAAATGTGAAGTGGACCTCACAAGATGTCAAACAATCCTGACAAAGAAGGTCACTAAGTGAAGCTAGACTTTGAGTAAAGTAAATAATGAGCTGCCCATTTGTATGCTAGGATTGTTAGTTAGTTTCAGTTGCAGACACCTGCTCAGGGAAATTTTACCCACAGAGCCAGCCTGTGGTTTATACTGCAACTATGCTAAGTGGACCTTAGTTATAGTTTCTAGGAGAGAGTGCATAATCTGGTGTGATCAGAAGTGGATCAAGACTATGATGGGAAGAATTTTGCTTAAAGGTACTATTCAGCTTTGTCTGATTGGTTAAGTTCTTTATAGCTCAGTCAGTAGAGTGCATATCGGATCTAATGATGGTTTCCTCTGCCTTGGGGGGCAGGTTCAAATCCTGCTGGAGAGTGCATATTTTTCTTTAATATGAATTCTCAAACATTCTGGTCAGTAGATAAAAATAAATATACTGTATAATAAAAAAAAATGCAGTGTCTACTCAAATATGAGCATCCACTAAATAGTGTTTAAAGTGATCAAATACACACATACATAAACCTTAGAACTTTCAAAATCTTGGTTAAAAATCATGTTTTTCTGGCATCAACATAAATTTGTATGGGAAATTTCAATGCCTTTTGCAGTAACAAACACACTGAATTGGAAATTATTGTAAAAGTCAGATAATTGAGAGATTTTCCAAAAACTTTCAGAGTAATTCACAAATGAAAGAAATTTTTTTTTAAACCTTTCTTTTTTAGAAAGTCATGGTAAAAATTGTTTCTTTTCATTTGTTACTCCGCATTTATTTAATTTTATAAAATTTTGAAATATCTCAATAGGGATTAGCTTGCCGCTCTAGTAGATGGTTATCCTTGAATACAAGTGGCCAGCTATATATATATATATATATATATATATATGTGTGTGTGTGCGTGAATATTGAGGTCAACAATCAGAAGCAACAGGCTGTTTCATGCTAAATGCAATCATCAGGCCGCAAGTGTTGGATTTTGCCTCGACTATTTATATATATATGGGTCAGTGATGCATTATGGGTAATCCATTCTGGCAGTTATTTTGGCAGGAGTGGCTTGTTTATTTATTTATTTGGGTTAATTTATTTTGTTTTTTATTTTTTTTTGGTTTTCTATGTTTTATTAACGTGGTAAAAATTATTTGGCTTAGGTCGCTTCTCATACTTATGTTTATTTTTATTAGTTCTAACGTTTTTTTTTCAGTAGGATCAATTTGTAATTCGTTAACTTATTTATTTATTTATTTTGGAATAATTTTTACTTGTTTTTTTCTTATTTATTTGCTTATCTTTTATTTTTATTTCTTTTTTATTTTGTATATTTTTATATACTATATTCAGTTTTTGATTTTTGAGTAACATAGTACTATTTTTTTAATTGTTATATAGCAGTTATAGCTATTTTTTCATGCAATTTTTCGATTGACTGTTGAAGTTTATTCTAACTATTATTTTGGTGGGATTGATTTGTTGATTTGTTTACTTCATTTACTTATTTGGATTATTTTTACTTGCATTTTATGTATTTATTTTCTATTTTTATTTTTTCTATTTTATCTATTTTAATGGAAGTGGGTGGTTTGTTAATTTGTTTATTATTTTACTTGTTTTTATATTATTTTGTTTATTTTTGTTTATTCTTTTCAGTATATGATTTTTAAGTAACATAGTAAAAATTTGTTTTTGTGTCTGCATTTTGAGATGAGCTCAGGTCGTGTATTTAGTAATTTATTTTGGTCTGGGAAGGTAATAATAGCTATTTTTTTCTCAATGCAAAGTTTGCAGGCTTTGGATTGATTGTTGTATCTTGATGACTTTTTTTTTTCCTTATTTTTTTTTTTTTTTGGTGTGATTTGTGTTGTTTTTAATTTCCCAGATATACTTAGAAAGCATTGTGCATTTTATATATTTACTATTTGTGAAAGATGTTTTGTGTGCATAATTTCTTTACTTCCAGGGTCCTTCAGTTACTCCTATGTATACTTTTTCTTCTTTCTTCATATACATCATAATCTGGAAGTCATAGAATTCAAGACTTTTTGCTGAAAAGAAAACTAAAGAAAATAGAGTGCCATATTGAAAGTTTTTTTTCTCTTTTCCTCATCCTTTTCCTCTTCTCTCTTCCTATATGTCTACTCCCAGCATGGCTGCTAGGACTTTGATTGATATCACTTTGATCTCATCTCTTTTATTTTTCAACTTCTCATCCATAATGCATCCCACCTCCTCCTTTCACCTAATAAATATCCCCTTCTCACGGTCTTTTTTTTAATTTAGTCTATTGGTGGGAAAGAAGGCAAATTAATATAATGCTTTTTTTTAAACACCGCAAAGGGTTTAGAGGTGAGTTATATATATTTCTTAAAAATATGGCTGTCTTATTAAAAGTTTTAAAAAAAAATTCTTAACTGTTTTGCTTCCCTAATTGAATTTTTCTTTCATATATTTCCTGTCATCTTTTTTTACTTTCAGCTTTGGTCGTAAAAAGACTATCATCCTGTTGATAGGAGTTGCTGGTATTACTTCTTTCTCCATGTATTTCCTTCATATATCTGGTAAGTCTGAATGCATCCATCAAAATTAATTTGTTGAATCTTACTTAACTCAGGATTTTGCAGATGTTGTACCACAAAATAATACCTACGTTTAATACCTGCTTATTGTAACCAGAAACCACTTTTCTTCTTCTATAATATATATATATATATTTTTCCCTGTGTAGGTGTAGTTATTCATGGGAATTTTTAAAGACATTATCTTTAATGAAATTATTATTATTATTTTCTCCCTGTGATGCTTTAGAGTGATTGTGGATTATATAAAACCGTTCTCTCCATTCAAGTCATCTGAAGATCATGTTGTGTGAAACTAGACTCATGACTAGAGCTGTCCTTTAATAGGATTTAACATTGGTAATCATTTTTTGCTCAGTCCAGGAAATCTAGTCTTCGAGCACTTTACTGAATAGGCAAAGTTTGCTTTCTGTTCATTTTCTCTTTCTTTTTTCAGTGTTGTCTTTATTCAAGACTGTTTCTGGATAAGTTTTGGCAAGCTATCTGTTAGCTTCACCAATTGTTTTTGCTTTTCTTTAATATATATCAATATATCTATCTATCTATCTATCTATCTATCTATATATATATATATATATATATATATATATACCAGGTGTAACAGTAAAATTGTCAAAATCATGTAAAAGCAAAATTATCCATTTGTTACATTAAGATATGAACCATTGTATCTTAGAAATGATTACAGATATCTTACTGGAATTCTATGAAGATTTTATAACACTATTGGACTCTGCTTTGAGCAATAATAATGTATAAAAGTGGACTAAATAAAGGATTCAGTTCAACATTCCAGTATATATCACCTGAAGAAGGCTGGAGTGTACAGTTGCTGAAATATTGTGAATATGGCAATAAAGATGAGGACAATAGTTCAAATGATGTAAATAGAGTAAATAGTCACAATACCACATCTCAGAAATATAAACAGATACTGTTTAGTATTGGGTTTGTCTTTTTTTGTTTTAGGTCTAATGATTTTCATTGGTTTTGTGTATGTACTTGTGCACAAAGTACTGTTTTAAAAGTTTAAATAAGGAATTATTTGTGGTCCAGGAATGGATTAATCCATTTTATATTGATTCTTGTGGGGAAAATAGTTTCAGTTTACAAACATTTTGGGTCACAAACGATCCTCAGGAATAAATTTCTTCATGTTGGAAGATTTCCAAATTTTTATCAGAAATCAAGAAATATAAACATTAAGCAAAATAGTTACAATATATGGAAAAATAAAACTTCACTTTAACCCATATCCTCCTGGTATCCGTTTAAACTGACACTTTCTTTTCTTTCTATATTTCTAAAATAATTTTTGAAAAGTGACAATATTCACTGAAAGGCATTGGGAAATTTCCAAGTTTTCATTTGAAACCAAGAAAATATGAACATTAAAGAAAATGGTTACAATATATGGAAAAGGTGGATATGAGTTTAATATTTTCATCTTCTGTCTTATGACTTTTACTACAACGTAGTGGTTAATATTACTATTGTTAAAGAATTTGCACCTTTTTTTCTTTTTAATCATTTCACCCTAAGCAAGATAATAAAACCACTAGGATGCAAGGGGTTACTGAATGTTAGAGAATATGAGAAAAACGATTATTAAGAAGAGAGGACAATAAAAGAACAATAATTGAAAAGGCAGAAGATAACAATTAACAATGCATTTAAACTTTTGATGATCAAAGTTGACTGGAAAGTAAGAAGCCAGAAGAGAGTTCCAAAAGTGAGAAGTGAAATAGAAGGAACTGTTAGCATAGAACTTACAGTTATATCTAGCCATTTCAACAGTAATATAATCATACCTTGCTGCCAATGTAGTACTGCACTTAAATTCATAATGTCTATGTGTCATAGAGGAGAGTTCATCAGAACAATTACCATGAAAGTATTTATAAAAAAAGGCATAGGGAAGCTACATATCACTGTTAACTGTTTATTGCATTTTCTTTCTAGGAAAGAATGAAGCTTATCCAAAAGTACAAGTTGTACTGTCTATGCTTGCTAAATTTGGAGTCGCAGGTGGTTGGGCAGCTTTAATGATATTCAGTGCCGAATTATTTCCTACAGTTGTTAGGTAAGCAGATAATTTCTTAAATTTCATATTAATTTTTTTTTACTTCTTTTCTTTCTTTCCTCGTCTCTATTTTTCTGCCTTCTTTCTTTCTTTTTTCTTTCTCTACCTCTATTTTTTTTCTTCTCTTCTCTCTTTTACTGACTTCTTGTTTTTCTTTGACACCTTTCTTTTTCTTTTCATTTCCTACTTATTTTTCTTTCTTTCATACTTTCTCTTTTCTTCTCTCTTTTTATAAACATACCCCAGGGTGCTTTCTGTCACTCACCAACAGGAAAATTCATCCCATGTGTTTCAATTTCAGTCTTCACAAAAACTGAAAAAGGCCTGTTCACAAGTGTTGTGTACGATACACCTAATTTACATAAGTGGAGTACCGACCATATAAATATGGGTTGGTACCGGAAGACGAGAGATAGTGGGTTAGAAGAAGACATCGAATCGAGAGACTCTGCCCGACTGCGATTTAGTAAACCCATTATGCAGGAACAGTCTTCCCAAGAATATACCAAAAACTAACTGTAAATATTGTGTACCTTTTCCTTGTTTCAATACATTTTGTTAACGTACATTTTGTGTTGTATTATTATTATTCCATGCTTATCCAAGTTTCAACAACAAGGAAAAAGGAAAATTAAATAATAATGTCATGGTGAGAAATGAAAACACAAATCCTGTTTCCTGTATATTTGATTGTTTCCTTAGGGATTCACTTACACGGTCTGGGCAAGGTAGGTAGATGACACTTGGTACAACTTATGCTACTTCTGTCATGACACTTCACTTCAGCTGGCAAGAACTCTTTTGCCCATCTCTAAAACACAATATATGGCTTGCAACTCATCCACAGTTGGCCTAAAACTAATGTGCAATCTGGAAGTCACTCTAACAGGTGGCCTAGAACTCTCTACTCATTCTGTGATATAATATAAGCTGAAACTTCCTAATTTCCCACCAAGTGGAGCTTAATCCTGAAAATTTCTATTTATTTATCCATTTCACTTCTCTTCAGCCTCCTAGTGAACAGTTGATGGCTGATTTGAAGATCTTATCTCTATAGTTTATTGTCTTCTTCATCTTCTGTGTGCTATGTCCCTTCAGTAGGTGGGAGATCATAGCTTTTCACAACCTCCTTTGTAGCCCTTAATAAATTTTGTCTATTTCCTAATCCCTGTTCTGCCAACCATTTATACAAGTTTGTTATTCTAACGTTATGAACTGTTTTCTTCTGTCCCTCTTGCTTTAAATATGTTCTGTGAGTGTCAAATTTTCCAAGCCTTCTTTCTTCATTATGTGCCCTAGCCAAAAAAACTGCTGTGTTTCAGCCCAGATAAAGCCATTCACAGTCCATTTTACTCCACGGGTGTTCCAAGCTAATAATATGGAGGACTTGTCACATTTTGTTGCCTTTCTTTCTTTTTTCATACTTTCTCTTCTCACATTCTTTTTCTCTGTCTTTCTTTCCTTCTTCTTTTCTTTACAATTTTGATTTTTTTTTCTTCTTTCATATAGCTCGAGTTCTCATCAGTATTAATTAAAAAAAGGATTTTGTTTTTTAAAGTCAATCTTTATTTGATTTGTTTATTTTTCAACACATGGTATGAACCATTTCCTCCATTAATGGATCTGTTCTGACCACATATAGTCAGGAAAACTCTGCTGTTATGCATAGTTAGTTAAAGCTTACTGCTAAGCTAATTCTTATTGTCTTGAGCAATTTTACTTCACCAACAGAAGACCATAGCAATTATACTGTTTATATTTTGTAAAACTAAATCTTATATAAAGTCTATTTGGAGGTTATCTATTCATTTAATATTAATGACAAAATGACCTTGGGGTAATACTGATTTAAGGAAAAAAAAGTGATCAGTTTTTTTTGTAAACTACATTTTTTTTATCTACTGGCCTGTGCACTCATGAAAACATAATAAACTTTGGCTGATCAGCTACAAAGAGCTTTACAATCAAATAATGTTCTTTTTTTGTCTTTAATGAGCATTGATTCAGTCAGATTTCCTTGAGAGGAAGATACATTTTCTTTATTAAGTTTTCTTGAGGGCACAGGCCTCCAAAAAAAGTAAATAAAATAGAGTGTCTACTGAAATAGCAGTATCCACTACAAATAATGTTTGAAGTAATAAAAATATTGTCGGATTAAAAAGTAACATCCATTAATTCTTTATATTTTTTATACATATATATAATTATATATTCACATATATAACAAAGTGGAAAAAGTTTTTATGTAGTGCATTTTGTCCTTTAGAACTTCATGCTTGTATGTTTATATGTTTATGTTTATACTAGTGTAATCATGCTGTCAACATTGATGGCAAGAAGGAATGCATCATAAGTAATATGTATTATATTGTAAGTAATTTTTGTTTAATCCATCTACAATTTTGTAATTTAAAATAGTTTATTGTTAACATTAGTAATTGAACAATTCATAAACATCTCAAGAAAGATATTCGTATCTTATCCTCATAAATGTTACATATTTACAACCAAAATTTTTTTTACTGCAGAAGCACATAAAGCTGCTATCCATCCTTCTACTCAAAATTCTGATTGTTAAGATTTGATATAGTTTTATTCTTACTGTGAACTGTATTGTCTTAGGGAGCAATTCTCTTTGTAGTTCACCAGACCCTCCCTTGTCAACTCATGAAAAGAGTGAGGGAAAGAAGAAGGGGGTTGATTTATAGTTGTTAGCTTTTTGCATGTGGATGTGAATGGGGTCTTTTGCTCACTGCCCCTCAATTGTTACACACACAAAGAAAAACTTAAATATTATATATATATATATATATATATATATATATATATATATATATATATATATGCTGTATTATATTTAAGGATGCTTATTTTTATGTTGAAAACACCTGAAACATTTATTTCCTGTTCATTTCATATACAGGCCTTCACACTTGAGAAAAAGTAAATAAATTTTTTCTTTTTTTAGTGTTAGGAAATCAATTGACCAAAATAGCCTGAAGATACCAAAAGGTTGAAATCAAGGTAGTGGAATTACCTGTTTTCCTAATTTTGTATACTTAAAAGCTGTACATGCTATTTTATTATCTTTTTGTATGTGTATAGAGCACTTTTTAATACTACAGTTTCTAGGTCTAATTAAACTCTGACCATTAACTTCTTTATTATTATAATAATAATATATATATATATATATATATATATATATATATATATTGCACAAAAGACATACATGTGGCTCTAATGCAATAAGGCTGTGGCCCCATACTCCACATGGTTGTCTAAAGGTATAGGTGAAGGAATGTACATTTAAAGGCACAGCCATATTATTTTGTGGAGAAATCTTATTTCTGCATACTTTTTTTTTTTGCTCTTACTGAAATTGTCATGGCATTTAATCTTGTTAATATTTCTTTAATAGATCCCTCGGAGTTGCCTCTTGTGCTATGTCTGCACGTGTTGGAGCGATCACTGCAATACAAATAATCAAGCTTGTAAGTAAATGGAAAGTTTTATAAATCATATTTATTGGAGATCCCAAGAAATTATTGCTTTTGTCATTAAATGCCATTAGGAGTGTTTAGTTTAACTTTATTCAGAAATACCATTTTTTGTCATATTCTCATTTTTAAAAAGATTTGGCAAAATTGGCAAAGTTTTCTTTATGTTGACAATGAAGAAGAAAACAAACAAAATTTCCAACATATTCTGTGAGAACAAATATGTTTTAGGTTGTCTGAAAGTTTCATCACTATTACTATTGTGACACCCACTGGCGGTCACAGCACCAATATGTGACGTCCTCTGGTCACGACGCCAATATGTGACACTATGCTGTCGGCCCGTGGTTAACTCCCAGTTGCGGTGCGAAGCTGTAAGGTTTCTTCCACCAGTGTTTGGGGTTGACTCCTTGTCGCTGCCACCCGGTCGATCAGGTTGTTCCCAGTTCGATACCAGCCTTGTCGTTTCCAGCTCACTTCCAATGTCTGCTTACCGAAGTAACTACTTTGATCTCAAGTCTAACCTACCCACATTCTGACTTTGATCTTAGGTAGACGAAATCAATCAGGTGTCGGGCCATAGTGCAAGCTGAATACAGGGTGAAGGTGATATCGCATAAGTGTAAGTAAAAGAAGCAATAAAACAAAACTCAAGAGGTTCAAATATGTTGAGAAATAATATATTATCTTTATCTGTCTGTTATATACAGGAGCATGTTTCTCTCCCAGCCCGTTTCTATGGATTTGTGACACATGCATTTCTTAAGCGAGTTTTGGTATCTTAAGTTGTTCGTCAATATAACTTGCTTTTGATAGGAAGGCGAAGTAGAAAGGACGTGGAATCTCTCTCGGTCAGCTTCTGCAAGGCAACACTGACTCTGTCTGGAACTGAACTCCGACTCCAACTCAACTGCAACTCAACTCAACTGCCAAACTGCCCAGGGACGTTTGTTTATATGGGTACTGACCAAAACCCGGTGTGGAGCCTTACATGGTTTGGGTTCCTCAATAATTCTTGATTCCCAACAAGAATTCTCTTTGTTCTTAGGCCAAGAAAATTAATTACTTCCCATTTGGAAGATTAATCACTTTACATTTCAGGGGTTACTCCCTCATCAGTTATCCTCCTAGACTCTTCCTCTTTCACATTGGTATCTCATACCAATCCCCTCAGTGGGTGTTAGCAACTTCTCCACCTTTCTCATACATTCACCTCCACCTATCACCCATCTTACCACTTGACCAATGATCTCTTGGCAGTATGGGTGTGGCTAGACTGGCCTTCTTAAAAATTATTATCCAGAATTTTGTTTACAAAATCCTTTTTTTTCTTTTTTTCCATCGGCCAAAACATTTTTTTCATAAACCCCAGATTGCCAAATAATTCTTATCACATCTTTCTTTTGGGAACACCCAAAATTCACTTCGTCAGGTCTCTCTACCGACTCATCAATCACTGTCAAAACCCGACATCTGGCTTCCACTGAGTCAACTTTTAACTGGGGTCCATGTTTACATGAGAATCAAATTCTTTATTTTTCTCATGCCTTAAAATCCTCATCTCCCCAGATGCCCATTTTCGATGATACGGTGTCTGATGTCAACAGCTTAAAAAAGTAATAATAATAATTTCCTCCATGATTTTCTTCCTCATGCCAAAATTCGAACAGATACCAGATGGTTTCCCTTTGTTGAACCCAGGAATCAAAATTAAATGATATATCTGAAAGATAACTAATATTGATTCTCTCTGCCTGTATCACGGTTGTCTCAAGCCAAATTTTTTTTTATGACCGCTATGTGTCGGCCAGCTTTGGTTTTCTTTCTGAATTCTGTTTCCCTTGGGGCATCATTCCCTTACCATGACATTAATCAGATTTGACAGAATCTCATATCTCGCTTTTTCTTACAGATTTTCTGTCTCATGTGAAAAGTATCTTTCTTCGTGAATAAAATAAAATCTTTTTTATGTCATTCAGTCTATGTTTTGATATAGCTCTTTCTCGCCTTAAGTCTTTCCTGTTTTTTAATTTGTATGGTTAATTAGTTAGCCAATTACCATAGCTAAATAGTGTCACACTATTATATAGAAAAATCAATAACAAAGTGGAAAAATGTTTTTGAGTGATGCGTTTCACTCTTTAGGTATTCATTGGACTAAAGTGATGCTTACATTGATGTGACCATAGATCCTGCAAGCAATTTTATTGTAGATGACCTAACAAAGCACTTTCATCTTAATAAATTGCTTTTTCTTTGAATTAAAGTAGTATTTTTCAAGTCAAAATTATGGCTGAACTCATTTTTTTTAATTTATTGATTGATTTTGTTTTCTACAGTTTATAACATTGCAGGTTATTTAAAGCCAGGAAAGTTTTTTAGACTGTAAGAATTTTTTTTTGTTGAGATAATAATGGTTTAGTGATGAAAGTATTACTAATTAACCCATAGCTTTGGGGAGAAGAGGTTATACCTTTCCCAAGAGCATTTGCATGCAGGTGGATATAACAAACCCAACTGGAATTGGAACTCAGCTCTCTGATTTCCAATTTCAAGCTCTTATCCATTTCACCACCCACACATCCAAGTTTACAGCATGTGGTATTCTGAAGCAGTCACCCATCTAGGCACTGACCAGGCTTGACATTGCATGTTCCAATGTGATTTGGCTTTAAACCACCATTCAGTGAATGTCTGTACAAGTCTTACTAATTAATACATATCTGTAGGGAGAATTGGTAGATTCATACCTTTCCCAAGGTCATTTGCATGTAAATGAATATAGCAAACCAGGAATTGGAACTTGGCTTTCCAATTAAATATTCTGAGCTATTATTCATTACACCACGTGCACATGCAAGTTTACAGCACCTGGTATTCCCAAGTGGTCACTCATTTAGGTACTGACCAGGCTCAGTGTTGCTGAACTTTGGTGATCATATGGGAACAGGTGTTTCAATGTGATGTGGCTATAAGCTTGAACTCATTTTGATTTGAAAAATGTTGTTTGATTGGGAGAGATGGCCATTTGCTAGGGTGAAGGTGTATTAAAGTTGCTTTAATTGCTAGATTGCCATCCTGGATATGACGATAAACTACATCTGGCAGCAAGGCCTCTGATCAGGAGGCTTTGAGGAGTATGAAACCATTTCATAATTGCTGTTGATCCCAGATTCACCCTGACCCAGGGCGGTAGCACCTGTTAGAGCCTCAAGTATGGGGTAATAGTTAACCCCCACAAACTGGGGTCAAAACACTATGAAAGTGTAAAAATAGGTTTTTATTGTAAAGATATCAGCAATACATTTTGATAATAAAAAAATTACTTTCAATACATTTTTGTAAGGAAAAAAAAAATATTGCCAGTAATATATTTTTGTAAAAAAATTACTAACTCTCTCAAGAAAATTAAATTTCGGCATTAGATGACCCATAAGCATTTGATATGCCACTAAACAAACATTAATTGCAAGATTAACCGCATTAAGTTTGCATCCAGGTTCTTACAACATTTTATCTTTCTTTGCAGATTGTCTATTATCACAATGTGGGATATTTAATAACAAAATAGATAAAAACAAAGAAAGAGAAAAATTTTATGAAATTGGTGAGACTATATACTGAAACACATATTTAAGAAAAAAAATTCCCTCCACCAAAAAAAAAAAAAATTATATTTAAAAGTTTAATATTTCAATATCCCCTCATCTTTGTGTGCATGTGTGGTTGCATCAATATAATCATCACTTTAGTCTGAAGATGTCCTAAAAAAAAAAAAATATGTCATGCAAAAATTTTTTTCCACTTTGTCATTTATTTTCCTAACATTGTTCTGGTATATGAAAATTTATATATCTTTTTCCTATTGCCATTGTATCTTATAATTTTCACTACAGAAACAAAGGATAGGTATGAATTTGTATCCTCCTTGCTATGGGTTAAATTGTAGGACTTGTATCTGGAAAAATCATTGTTATTCTCAAAAAATTTCCAACAGTCCAAAATATGTTTTGACTTCCACAAAAGATTGATAAGTTGTAAAAAAACAAACCAATCAAACTATAGGAATTACATTGGATAGATTTGAATTATAATGAGTGTGTTATCTGGGTAAGAGTGGATTATTAGTAGATCAGTGGGTAGTTAACAGCAGTAACATATCTGAAAGTCTGATTGATTTCTGCTTTATTTCAGGATGAGATTTCCAAGCAAGTGCCTTTTGTGATTTTTGGTTCCGAGTGTCTATTATTTGCTGCTTTGTTGCTTTGTCTTCCGGAGACTGCTGGCATGCCACTGGGAGACAGGCTAGAATCTGCTGAAAGGGAATTTCCAAACAGTCCATTAAATGAGGCAGCAGAAAATGAAAGAATGAACCAAAACCAGGAAGAAGAAAAAGATGAAACTCAAACCAGTTGCTTAGACAAGATTGAGATGAACCAAGATGGCTGCAGTGCCTGATAATAATGTAAAATATAATATAGGGTGTATCAAATATGTTTACGAACTTTAGGGGTAGGTTCCTCACACCAAAATAAGGGTAAAAACCCATATAAACATGTCTTCAAATCCTTCATTTTTGAGTTATTAAGTTTAAAGTTTATGGTAGATGCTGTTAAATGTACAATCCAAGATATAATTTTAAAAAATGTATCCATATTTTGTGGTGCCACGTATTTTGTCTAAGTAACACAGCAATAAACAGCAATAAAATTTGGATGACTTGGCTGCCTTCAGTGTGGAAATGCAATCTGCTACAGCTGTGCAGCCTCGCATCCATTACTATTCACACAGCTGTATGTAAAAATATATATCTGCCTGCTCATGATATGAATATCCTGCCATTGTTAAATGGAACACTTCTTAGTTAACTCACTACTACATATGTTAAATGTTGAAGACATACTAGCCACAAATGTACATAAATCACAAATGTAACCCAGTCTACATGACAATGCAGTGCCATCAACCATAAACTTTCTTTAAACTTAATAACTCACAAACAAAGGATTTGCAGATATACAGTGGGGAAAATAAGTATTTCATCCCCTGCTGGTTTTCTGAGTTTCCCACCTTACAAAAATCAGAACAGTCTATAATTTTTAGGGCATGTCTGTCTTGAAAGTGAGAGATAGAATATAAAAAAAATTTTGAACATTTATTTCTTTTTTATTGAAAAAATAAGTACTTCACCCTATAGCAAAATATAACTCAGTAGAGAAACAACTCCAAAGCATAATGTTTCCACCACCATGCTTAATGGTTGGGATTATGATCTTAGGATCAGCTTTTTTTTTCCTCTAAACATGTCGAGTTGAGTTGATGCCAAAAAGTTTAATTTTAGTCTCAACTGACCACAGCACTTTCTCCCAACCCTCCTCTGAATCATCCAGGTGCTGATTTGCAAACTTCTGATGGTCCTGTACATGTACCTTCTTGAGTAGGGGGATCTTGCAGGTAATATATGATTTCAGTCCACTACTAGTGTGTTACTAATGGTCATCTTGGTAACTGTGGTCACAGCTGCCTTGAGATTATCAACAAGGTCTTGCCGCGTAGTTTTGGGTTGTTCCCTCACCTTTCTCATCATCAGGTTCACTCCACATTGGGAGATCTTGCATGGAGCTCCAGACCAAGGGAGATTGATAGTCAATTGGTGTTTCTCCCATTTTCTTATTATCAACAGTTGACACCTTCTCACCTAGCTACTTGCCCATCGTCTTGTAGCCCATTCCAGTCTTGTGCAGGTATACAATTTTGTCCTGGATGCCCTTAGACAATTCTTTTGTCTTGCCCATTGTGGAGAGATTAGATTCTGATTCATTGAAGGATTCTGTAGACTAGTGTCTTTTATAAAGGTAACGAGTACTTGATTAGAAGTAATAATTGAGTAATAGGACTTGTCGATATGCCTCCTGATCACATAACCAGTCTGTGGGGTCTGAATCATTGCTGGTTGGTAGGGGTGAAATATTTATTTTTCAATAAAAAAGAAATAAATGTTCAAAAATTAATATAATGTGATTTTCTAGAATTTTTTATTTATATTCTATGCCTGACTTTCAAGACGGGCATATCCTGAAAATTATAGACCGTTCCCATTTGTGTAAGGTGGCAAACTCAGAAAATCAGCAGGGGATGAAATACTTATTTTCCCCACTGTATGTTTATATGAACTTTTTCCTTGTTTTGGCATGAGGAACCTGTCCCCAAAGTTTATAAAGTATCCCTCTGTGTGTGTCTGTATATATATATATATATATATATATATATATATATATATAATAAAATGATTGACATGAAATATTTGTACAAAATATGTAATATGGAATATAAGAAAACCATTTGATGTTTAAAGTTTTTTATTCTGTTGCCAACATATCAATCAATAAGAACATTATCAGAACCGCAAGGTTGGCATGGTAGCAGTTTTTCCTTAATTATTTCCTTGTTCTGATGGTATTTTCATTGAATGAAATGGAAATAAAATGAAAAATTTAACCATCAAACCAATTTTCATATTTTCCATCTTATATATTTAAGCAATTAATGTTTTCTTTCTTATCCAACATTATTTTTCATGACTATAAATGCTATATTTCGTAGATACATGTTTGATTTGACTTTCCTATTTTTTTTAAACACAGAAATTAATATTAATCAGTTGAGGGTTTGAGGTCATGCTACAGAATATCTGATGTAGAAAAAGTCCCAAGAGATGTGCATTTTTTAAATAGGTCATTGAGTCTTGCTTTATTATGGTTTCTCATGGCCTAACAGGTAGGGCACATATTGCCTCAAAAAGTGATTTCCTGGTAGAAAAAGGGAGTACAAGTTTGATTCTTGTCAGGAGGTATATTTTCTTTATTAAGCCTTTCAATTTTAGGCTGGTAGACATTAATTTCATTGTTTTAAAAAACAAGCATATCTACTCACATATACCCACTAAATATAATGTTTATATTAATAAAATTCATGCACACACATACACAGACACACACAGAAACATACACACACACACACACACATATATAGATCTATAAACATATATAGGGCCCCCAATTTTCCATTTCAAATTTTTATTGATTCCATTTCCACTTTTGGTAAATTCCACTATTTTCTGCTTTTACTTTTTGGAAATATCATTTTTGCCATTTTTATAGTATTTTATAAGAAAACTGCAATACAATATGCTATAATTATTATTAAAACTGAAAACAAAAACATAATTCAAAGTTTTACTGTATACAAAGAAATAGCAAATATCTACAAATCTTTTTTTAAATGTTAAAATCTGTAAAGAAAGAGATAATCAGCTACCTCGAAAAAGAGTTTGTGTTTTGTGTGCAATCTGCCGAAGAAAAATTATCAAAAAGTAATTATAAAAAAAAAAAAAAAAAAAAAAAAAAAATGATTTTTTAAGGACGAGAATCTATGCTAATGTTCTTCCCTCCCCTGAATGGCGTAACCAATCAGAAAGACATCTCGGTGAACAAAAGCCATTGTTCTTCGCTTATAAAGGCAGGAGATTTTCTGACCTCATGAGACAAACATGCATTTTTGCTGGTGAGAAGTGAAGGTTGAATGTGTGACCCCATTTTGTCATTTCTACACTGCTTGTTGGACTGTTAAGATGGGCTATCGTGTGAACTGTGATTTGACTACAAGTATTGTGATTGAGAGACAGAAGAAATCTATTGCTACTATAAGTTGACAATCTTTTCTTTTCTTTACAACCACACAATCCAATCCCAAAAATAAATTATATATAAAAATAAAAAAAATGTAACATGACTGGAAAGAAAACAAGGGAATGTTACAGTGCATAATTATCTTTGAGGTAGAACTTTTAATCAGTTTCCTTCTTTAAGAACACATTCAAATTGTTTTGGTTTTTTTAAGTAAAAGGATTTAGATTGATTTATAATTATTGATTCATAATATAAAAATCACATTTAAAATATTAACAGCAAATAACTTAAATCTCAATAATAAATATCTGAATAAAATCAAACATTTTGACTAAAATTTTACAAAACAGTAATTAAACCATAATTGAATCTTTGTAACAAAATATCAAAAACAAATTAAACATATTAATTCAAAATTTAAGTAAAACAACTTATCCCAAGTTGAAATACTGTTCAAATTTAAAATTACTAATTTCTTAATTTGGGAAATATCTAATCTTCAAATCTCTTCTATAAATCTCCATTGTAATACAACATTGTGAGTTGCTGGTGTTCTCCGGGGTAAAACTTTCACGTTGTTTATTGAGTAAATGTTTATACTGAGAAATGGACATTCAGCATATATGCTGGTAACAGGCATCCATATTGGCAGTCTGTTCCAGAAGAGGAAATCTGCTCTTATTTGCATCCCAAAATGATGGGATATTAAAAGGATTTGGTAAATCATCTTCGTAATTCACATACATCTGGAATTCTTCAAGATCAGTAGAAGGACATTACAAGTCCTTGATGGCTGCAAAACTGTCTAAATCATGGCTTATACAAGGTAGCTGTCTATGATCAAACAGGTGAGCTGCCTTGTAAAAGTTATACACAGGGTGAATATCCAGGTATTTATTGTTTCAAAAAAGATATGCTGAAAAAAATCAAAAAAGATATGCTGAAAAAAATCTTTTTAAGGCAAAATCTTTTTAAGGCAAAATATTACAAAATTATGAACGTTTTCACTTTATATTTGTTCTTATTTAGTTGTCAAGGATGATCACATGATTAACCAGTAGTTAAAAATAGTCACTGACATTTGAAAACAAAAACTATTGAGATAGAATAAACAATCTAACCATACCAATTGAAAAAAACATCTCACTGTTTTTAATCATTTGCATTACCAACATAACAAAAATCTTAATATACCATGGCTATAGAAAACTTTGTGAGGGCTGCCAAGATGTATGTAAAAGGCCCATGGGTTGCTAGTTTGACACACCAGCCTTTAAGGAAATGAATTGCTTGCTCTCTCTCTCTCTCTAACAACTAATCCATGACCTTTCATCTCATTTGCAACATAGTTTCTTAGAAAAGTTTTAAAATATTTAAAAATAGACTAGCCAAAATATTCTCAGAAAATTGATGACCCACTTTTCTTTTTTATTTATGTAAATATTATTGTTCTTAATTAACCTGAAAAGAGTTTTATAAGGAAAATAACTGCAAATATTTATAAAAACAAATTTTATGGAAAAAACTATGCTATTGTTATATTTATTAAAATGTTTAACAAAATCAAAGAGATGGTTAAGTTCTGAAAGAATTTGAAAAAATTTGAAAAAAAATCAAATAATTAATTTGTTATTTATTCTTGAAAATTACATTAAAAACCTAGATTCCTTTTAAGATTAATGATTTTGTGATTCTGGAAAATTTGCTCATATTATATATATATATATATATATATATATATATATATATATATAAAAAAAAGAAAGAAGA